CCAGGTGTGCCACAAGGCTTCACCCAGACCAGCCACCTGAAGCGCCACATGATGCAGCACAGCGAAGGTGAAGCCGCACAACTGCCGCGTGTGCGCGCGGGGGTTTCGCTACCCCCAGCGAGCTCAAGGCCCACGAGGCCAAGCACGCCAACGGGCGCGAGAACATCTGCGTGGAGTGCGGCCTCGACTTCCCCACCCTGGCGCAGCTGAAGCGGCACCTCACCACGCACCGCGGGCCCATCCAGTACAACTGCTCCGAGTGCGACAAGACCTTCCAGTACCCGAGCCAGCTGCAGAACCACATGATGAAGCACAAGGACATCCGGCCCTACATCTGCTCCGAGTGCGGCATGGAGTTCGTGCAGCCCCACCACCTGAAGCAACACTCGCTCACCCACAAGGTACGCGGGACCCCAGCCTGGGGCGGGCCACCTGGCTGCGCCTGGGGTCAGGGGCCAGGAGTCCGCGCTGCTCCCCACCTCCGCCAGGAGGAGCTGTGCAGCCCAGCTGCTCCCCTCCCCTGAGCCCTGATGTCCTCCCTCACCTGCCAATGGGGAGAATGATGAGACTAGCAATCAAGTCCTTTCCTCTAGGGCAGTGGTGGGCAAACTGCGGCTCGCCAGCCACATGCGGCTCTTTGGCCCCTTGAGTGTGGCTCTTCCTAAGCCTTAGGAGTACCTTAATTAAGCTAATAACAATGTACCTACCTATATAGTTTAAGTTTAAAAAATTTGGCTCTCAAAAGAAATTTCAATCGTTGTACTGTTGATATTTGGCTCTGTTGATTAATGAGTTTGCCGACCACTACTCTAGGGTCTGAGATGGGCCTAGAAATAAATAATGTGTACTGTTCGGAGAAGAGGGTGGGAAGGAGGAAGGAAACAGCAGGTCTGTGTGCTCTGGCTTCTTCGTTTCCTAGAATTTCTAAAATTCTGTTTCTGGAAACGTCATTCAGGGTGCCAGCATGAGTGTGTCATCAGGCTTTATCTACCGGAGACCGGCGCTGTGCCCGAGTACATTCATCAGCGCCTTTTTCTAGAGAACTCTCTTGGTTCCTTGCTGCTGAAGCAGTGGTTTCCTTTCCCCGTCTTCTCCCTCAACTGTGAGACCTGCTTCATGTGCAGGTGGCTCTGGGGGAACAGAGGCTGCGACCAGCGGGGTCTGTGCTTCCCTGGTGGAGCCCCTGCGCAGTTGACTGTGGTGCCCCGTGGTTTGTATGGAGGAGGCGTGAGAGAGCATCCTTCTCTGGTTAGATTTTATCTTCCCTGAGCTAGGGTCTTCAAGGAGAAATACAGGCCCACAGGTCTCAGTTCAGCCGAGTTTGTAACCAGAGCCCTGGAGTCATCCAGGGTGAACTAAAACAAGGCCCCAGTGGTGTCCCAAAATCTTCCCCAGCTGAGCAGATTTGGGGCTGCTTTGAGCTTCTGAGAGGGAAGGTTTGCTCCACTGACCTTTACCTCACATCTTTGACCTCAAGTGGTTTTCTTGGCAAGAGAGGCTTCCAGAAAGGCAGAGTTCCTAAAACATTCTTCAGTTCTGAAAGGTCTGTGGAGAACTCTTCCCAGTCAAGATGCCCTTTATATTCTGCCATGATGGGTTTTATCTGATAGGTTAGGACATAGCACAGGGCATTTCTAGCTCCACTGCAGCAATGAGATGTGTGGCTGCCTTATGAACTCTGTGCAGACAGCTCCTGCCCCACACAAGGCACCGGTAGATAGCATCCAGAGAAGAGGGGCCTGCCGAGTGCAGGGACCATCAACAAAGAAACTACACTTCAGCCACCAAAGAGATAATTTTATGGGGCTCCTACGTGTGTGGATAAGGAATCACAGGTGCATTTTGAAACATAAAAATTCTGTAGGTCAAAATGGGAAAACAGCCTGGTATCTGAAATAAGTCTCATTTAAATGAAGAAACAGAATGCATTTTAATAAAGCGTGTCAGCAAACAGCGAGGGGTAGTATTTATTGAATGCGTCTGTGTGGCAGCTGCTTTACTTTGCATGTAATCCGCTTCAGCAATGCTAAGAGCTACTTGTCGGTATCATTACTCCAAAATTGCAATTGGACGCTGAGGCATGGGGCAGCCACCCAGAATCTCTGACTCCAGTACCTGAGCTCTTGAACCCTATTGCCAAGACTTCCCTTTCTTTACCCACTTCCCTCCCTTCCCCTAACAACTCCACAAACTTCCCCTCTGTGATTCTACTGATCCTTTTAGAGACACAGTAGCTTCCTGTGTCCCCCAAAGTTGCGTCCAGGCTCCCATTCACTTGGGTTCTAGACCACTCCACATGTGAATTTTACTTTGGACACAGATTTCTCTTTAGAAAATTCCAAAACAGTGATAAGTAGATACTTCTTGGTCCCAGCACGACTGGATCATAGCCGGTATAGAGACAATCTTGAGGAGAAAGATCCTAAGTAAATTTTATAAGCCATCAAGAAAATAGTTTTCATTAATTTCATAATTCTAAACTCACTGTTTGAATATGCAACACATATTTTAAATTGAGATATCTTCATTAGCATCAGTCCACACTCCTCTGCAATAATTAGACTACAGAGCATTCCAGGTTCTCATGGCTTACCTCTTCATCTTGAGATGAGGAAGCCTTCACCAGGAAAGGCCACAAGACTTGCCTTAGGCCATGCAGCCAGTAAGTGGCTGGGCAGAGATCTGAACTCACCCTTTAGTGCCATGGGCTCATCAAAATGGAGGAATGGTACTTTCTTACTGTGTCCCAAATTAAAGAACTGAAAATACAGGCAGAGAGAGGCAGAGCTAAGCATGGAACCCCTCCCTCCATAAGTCACTATAAATACCAGCCAGTAAGGGATTTATAAAGTACAATTGTTAACTAGGCAACTTGATCTAAACCTGTATTAACCTTAATTTTAATGCTAGAGTTCTCTAAGTTTTCCTTCCAAAAAGTCATTCTGGACCAAGATTCCTTGCAAAGGCCTTTTCAGGGAAGCACTGGTTAGTCAGGATCAGCTAATATTCTATTCCTGCTATGAGTCTCTGGAAATGCTTTCAACTAAGGGCATTGATGCTTAAGTTTTTCAAACATTTCTCCACAAACAGCAAGGAAACTAGAAAATCTCTTTTTCTAATTCGGAAAGCTATCATCTGTCACATTTCTCTATAGGACAGAAGCTGGTTTAGAGGAGGTTCTATACCAGCCGTGGGCAAACTACGGCCCGCGGGCCGGATCCGGCCCGTTTGAAATGAATAAAACTAAAAAAAAAAAGACCGTACCCTTTTATGTAATGATGTTTACTTTGAATTTATATTAGTTCACACAAACACTCCATCCATGCTTTTGTTCCAGCCCTCCGGTCCAGTTTAAGAACCCATTGTGGCCCTCAAGTCAAAAAGTTTGCCCACCCCTGTTCTATACCCAAATCAAACAGAGGTCACTGTGGCCTATAGGAACTCAGGGGACCATCTCAAGAGGTGATTATCAAGTTGTACTTTATGGAAGTGTGGATATAAGTTGTTCTTCTGGGATTTTCAAGTCCATTAATAAGAACGCAAGATATGGGAAATGATACTATCAGTTTGGGAGGTATTTTTCTCATTATTATGAAAGCAGGATTATAGATTCATTTCGAATATCATTCCACAGTGCTCTTGCCAAAATCCCGTTAATCCCCAAGAACTGTTACTGTAGAATTAACCCCAGCAGCAGCAGGAACAACAAAAGTATTAGCTTTCCTTTTCTCTAATTTTATGTAGTTTATGGTTTTTGGAGAGAAAAACAAAGATTATGTAATCAACCTTTTTCAGGAAAATAGCAATTTAACAAGGCTAAAAGCCACACCATTTAGAACTAAATATCTACCAACAAGCTCATCATGGATTTATGCAGCAGAAAGAAAAACAAAGACTACAACCCAGATGAAAGCAGGTTACCTGCTAACCACAGTTGTTTTGAATCTTGCCTCCCTGCAGGGTGTGAAGGAGCACAAGTGTGGGATTTGCGGGCGGGAGTTCACTCTGTTGGCCAACATGAAGAGACACGTGCTGATCCACACCAACATCCGCGCCTACCAGTGTCACCTCTGTTACAAGAGTTTTGTGCAGAAACAGACCCTCAAGGCACACATGATCGTCCACTCTGACGTGAAGCCTTTCAAATGCAAGGTGGGCAGGGGGCCCTGGGAGAGTGCGGAAAGGGGGGACTCTGAGGGTTGTGCAAACACCGAATGGGGAAGAGTCTCCAGGGAACCCTCTATTCCATTTCATCAGGGCCACAGAAGCTCAGAGTAAGTCCATGGCCAACCCCAGGCTCATCTGCTGCTCTTTCTCTTTCCACTACACCTTTGCTCACACCAACCCTCAGCTGGGCCCTGCTTGTCTCACTGCGGAATCAGTTCCTGGGGGTAGAGGCACCAGTAGAGGAAGATCTGAGGGTGGAAGGACCACTGGGAGAATGAGGTGGTTCAAGGATGAAGGGATGTGGAGAGCTCCTGTTCTAGGAAGGAGCAATCCAGTGTGGCCCTCTTCCCTGTACAAGCCAATGAGTAGAATACAGAAAGGAGTCAGAGAAGCTTCTAGCACTGCCCCGACTCCCATCTCACCCCTCCCCTCCTGCCCTCCTGATACTTGGGCTAAGTGGCATAACTTGAAGGCAGGTCTTCCAGAGAGGATGACAGATATTGAGGCTAGCCCTCAGATGACCTCAGAAATGCTTGCTTAGGCCGAGGAATGAGTGTGAGCACAGTCATCTAAAGCATTTCTCACTTATTCCTAAGGACCTGGAGCACCTTTGTTAAAGTCTCCGTGTCACATTAACTTGCTTGGATTTTTATTTCAGTTGAGATAATGTGTGAGCTGAAGATTTGTAAAACCCAAGGCACTGGTGGTGTCACTCAGAAATGCTTGGGCTTCCCAGGCTGTCCCCTCCCAACATTGTTGCTCTTCACTTCTAAGAGGAAAAGGAGTCTTGCTCAGGATTGGGTAGTTTCACCCAAGGAATGTACCGGCAAGTGTCACTGAATGCACATCTTGAGGAGGGAGCTGAGGGGAAGAAGAGGGAAATCACCATGTTCAGCTAACACTAAGCTTTTCTGTTGGAAATGGAAGTTTCTCTTCTCTCTGTTACTGCATGTCTGATGCGGTCCAAATGATATTCTCAGTCGATTCCTATTTCTGAAGTAGGGTGTTCTGCTTCCAGGGGCTGTTCGTGCGTTCATGCCCCTGCAGCATGTCTCCCCACTTGAAGGAACCCCCTGTGAAGCCAACTTCTTTCCTGTGTTGGCCACTCCTGGACAGGGTGAGAGGGGTCAGGAACCAGAGCTTCCCTAGACCTGTGTGGGCATTCTCCGGAGGTGGGGGAGGGAGATTTCTCCCTCCAGCCCTTTTCCTGCCACCCACTTGTGTTTCCCCTCCTTTCCTTCAAGTTCTAGTAGTTTGAAAGTCAATTTATGTCCATCTTGAGTCATCTGAGCTGAACAGGGAGGAAGCTGCATGTAGGACCTGGTACAAAAGGAACATGTGAGGCCCTTTGTTCAAATGTTAGGAAGAATTTAAGATAGTAAAAACAGAGCATTATGCAGAACTCAGGACCCTTCTGAGTTTGGGGTCCTGTGTGACAGCCTAGGCTGCACGCCTTCCTGCGTGAGCCAATGGACACCATAGACCAACTCCTCTCTCTCTAGGCACTTCTTTGATTTCCTACCCACTTCACTAAGCCCTTTGACCCCTGCACTTTTAATAGAGCTGTTTCTGCCTGCCAGGGCTTCCTGTCTCCTACAATGGAGGTGCAAACAGGAACTCTTTTCCACGCTTCATTCCTGTGTTGAATTTACTCTTGGACTTCAAGCACATTCTATATTTTTTATCTTATCAACTGGTGGTAGAGAGCACATAAAGTTGTTAAAATATGAAGGGAGCCATTGCATAGTTAGCCATTGCATAGTTCCCTAAAATTTCACACCTGTCCAGTCCAACCAACTCCTACCTCTGCCTCATCAATTCAGGTCCAGCAGTAGTGGTTAAACCAGGAAGAAAACGTCTCTGAAACAGAGGGATATGCCAGGGGGAAGAGCCAATACAGGAGAAGGGCTTGCAGGCTGCGTGTGATTTGGGGCCACAGAGACAGTCCTATTTCTTTATATCAGGGGCCTCAGAGGGGCCTGGAGGATTTCATGGCCCTGGTGGTATCTGAGGATTTAGAGGATTCTCTCTGGTACCAGTTCATAGAAGACTGTACAATGCAAGTACAAGAAGGGCCCAGTGATGCAGTGAGCCAGCCTGGCTTGATGTTTCAGGCCTCCCTTCATAAACAACTGCTCCCTCTTTCCCAGTGATAGGGCACCACACATGGGTGTCTGATGGCTAACTTTATGGTCCAGAAACTCAACTCGACTTCTCCTTGAGTGTGCATTAGGCTCTGGATATCTGGTCACACCATGAGAGAGGGACTTGTAGCCTAAAATGCCAGCTCTGAAACACAGTTTATACTCTCCAAGGGGAGATGGGCCTGGAGCAGGAACTGGGATGGTTTCTTCAGGGTCACTTCTTCCTGGGACCTAGGTCTCTCAGCAGCTGTAGGTCAGGAGGCCTAGAAGAGTGCAAATACTAGTATCATTAGAACAAAAAGAATTGGATGTTAAAGGGGAATTTTTTAAAACATCAAACGCAGGTGGCCCTTCTCCATTCTTAGACTTTTCTAAAACAAGAACAGGTGTCAGTCACCTTGAATAAGAGCTCTCTGTCTCCTGGAAAGTGCCAGAAACATACCGCAGGTTCTTCCTCTATTTGTTCCCTTCTCCCTGCAAAGTGCCACCCTGCTCAGTGTCCCCTTCCTACTATCACCCTCCTCACTTCAAAGGCATTTCAGAGCCGGTCTGAGTTCACAGGCTATGTAACGGGCCTCTGTGTGTTGGAAAACTAGCTCCAGATGCCACAGTGAAACGGGTCACCTTGAGAGGGTGTCCTGCGGACTTTGATTCCCATCCATGTTGTGCTGGATTCTTGGAAGTCTGGCCCTGGGTGGAGCTTGTTGGGGATTTGAGAGTTGGGAAAGGAATGGAGGGCCATTTGCTCATTGCTGTGTAATCCAGAGCCTTCAGAGAGGAGTGGCTGGCAGGCTACATAGTGATGGTGGAGAACAGGGCCAGACAACTAAACCAAGGCTTGATCATGGTAACAGGGCAGACATTCCCTTCACAGGATTGGCATGGCTGGGGTGTGGGTCGGGGGAGGAGAAGGGCAGGCCTTGCTCCTGCCATATTCTGAGAGGTAGCTCTGTCTCCTTTACCCCAACCTTGCAAAAAAGAAAAAAAAAGGAGATTCTTTAAGTAATAGATTCTAATTTCTTGGGACTCTCCCCACTAAAAATCCTTCCTAAAATAAACCCCTCCCCCTGTTGCAATATGAACTGGTTCTCTTCAGTCCGTGCTCAGTGGAAACAGCTGTCCTCAGCAAGCAGCAAAGTTCGCTCACGGTGGGATTAAGCAGTAACAATAGAATGGAAAATTAGAGGAGAAGAAAGGTTTCCATTCTGTTTCTTTTTCTTTCCTTATAAAAAGAAATTACTGCCCTTCTGGGCTCTTTTGCTATTGGCTCGGCTCCTGGACTCCTAGCTCTTGGAGCCAGCTGGAGCTGGTCCAGAGACCTGCGCCTGTGCACTTAAGCTTGTTTCAGAAAGATGCTTCCCAGATTCTGCGTAAGCATGCGGGGGTCGACTTGGATGCTATCCTTGTAGCGGCCACACTCCATAAAAGCAAAGAACCAGCTGCCGTCTTTGGGAAACCTGTCCAGGAAAAGCAGCCATCCAGAATTTCCGGGACACATTCTCCTTTGAGATGGGTGAAGCCGGGAGCTGCCTAAGTTATGAATCACCAGGTCATCTGCAGCCGGGTCTGATGCAGAGGCCTGAAGGCCAAGGGCAGAGCCGCTAGAAGAGGATGAGGTCTCCTTGAAAAGGGTCCCCACCGCCTCTGCCAAACAGGCCCCATCTTCCCTTCCGGCTCTTGGATGCCTCGTGGGGGAGAAACCATGTGGGGACTTTTAGGGGCTCAGTACTTGGAACCAAGGCTCTCAGGCTGGCATTGAGGGGGTTAAGGCAGTGACCAGATAGCAGCCTTTTGGCAGCAAAGCCCTCCTCGGCAGAAGGAAGGATATAGCTGTATGAACTGCCTGCTTAACAATGCCTCACATGTCCCCAGGGGCCCGCCTGCAAATAGATTTCATCTTGCTTTCTCTTGTACTTTTCAAAGCTTCCTGTTTTCTCACGGCCCTTTTGGACAGTTTACAGTCTCTCTCTCTCCCTCCCTCCCTCTCTCTCCCTTTGAGGAAAGGAACACCCTTCTTATTAAAAGAGAGAGAGAGAGAAAAGAATGTAAGGGAAGGGCAGCTTAGCGGAGGCCATTCTCCTGGGCTGCAGGCTGCAGCTCTTTGACCTTTTCTCCCAGAATAGGAAAACACAGGCTTCCTGGCGCATCCCAGTCCTCAGGCTCACACAGGCTGGTTGGCACAAAGCAGTGTGGCCCTTCTTGGCTTCGTGGACCTCTGGCCCCAGCCCAGCCGCTGCCCCGCTGCACACAGCCGCCTGGGCTTCTCCGTGGCTCTGGCTGTCAGCATCATCGCTGGGACTCATGGGAAGTTGCCTGAGGCATCTCCAGGCCCTGGATCAGGGAGGGAAGAGGCACCAGGGAGCTGGAATTCGGAACTCCTATGAAGATGAGGAACAGGGCGCCTGTCAGCTGTTTAGCGGGCTGAGGATCAGAAAGCCAGACACTGGGTTCTCCCAAAACCTGCAGTCTAAGAGGAATCTTCTCTTTCCACCCACATTTCCCGGTACTGGGTCAGGCACAACTGCCTCCCTCTCTATTATGCTTCAGGTAACCTGGCAGGTATTTACACAAAGGATCCCTCACTTCCTTCAGTACTCCCTGCAAATAATTTGGTTTAAAAAGACAGCACCCCCATCTTCAAAGATCTTCCTATTTCTGGAATGTCAGAGCATAGTACACAATAATGAGAGTAATAAAAACTCATATTTATTGAGCTCTATTTGCCAAACCCTTTACATGAATTGTCTCATTTGGTCTTTATAAAAAAACTGTTATTATCATCGACATTTTAGGGAAGAGAAAATGGAGAGCTCATTCTCTATCCCTCTGAGGTCTCACCATCACCTCTCTGCTCTGCCCTCTCAAAGCCTAATGACCCATGCAACCCACTATTAAACGACAGTTCAAAACATTTGTTCCAATTTTCTATTAAATGTTGAGGTCCACCTACTTCTTGACAAGTAGGTATAAATGTGGGCATCGATGGGAAAGCTGAGACTTCATATCAGCCTCACTAATATCCCTCATTAGAGAACTGGGAGTTTAAGAGGGGTTGGTGGTTGAGATGACCACCTGCAAGAGGAACGCTGTCCTCTCCACTCCAGCAGCGTCCCCCACCAATACCTGCCCATATCTGAATCTTCGCAGACCTGGGCAGGAGATGATGCAGCAAGTATTGACGATGATGCAGCAATAGTCTCACCTGTTGTGATGAAAGGGGGCATTGACATTGATGGCTGCTTTTCTCAGAAGAAGAAACTAGGGTTATGGTGCTCCCTCTCACCCTGACTTCTTCCTTCTAGTCTAACTCCCTTCCTCTGCTACAGGGACTATGCTTGGAGCTCATATCTCAAACCACGGCACCATCTTCAATGGACCCAGTCTTCTTTCTCTGGTCCCCTTTTGCTGGATACTGAGGTTAGCCACAAAGACAAGGAAGGTAGCCCTAGCACTTCTGAAGGTGCTTTCAGCATCTTTCAGAGTTCACATACCTCCACTCAGCCTGGGAGAGCTCTCCATTGGCGGCCCAGTAAGCTACGTAAACCATGAAGGATAACTCTGGTAAATAAAAATTAATTTTCACCAATAGCACAGCAAGCAGTCTCCTTTACCAATCACACATCAGAAAATATAGCTTCCCGGTCATGTCCCACAGTGGACCTTCCCTGAGGCCATAGGCCTTGACTTCAGGGGACAATATCAATGTCCCAATGTCCCCACGTAGCATTGAAATGTCCCAGGAAGTTTAGTCGTGAATGAATTGAGTCAGAAAAGAAACATTAGAATAGAAAAACACACTGGGCTTTGATAAAGGATCATAAAATGTTGCTTGTCTAAGGCCGAGGAAGATTCTAGGAAATGCCCAGTGGTAGCCATTGTGATGTATGCACACCTCTGTGTGTGGGGGGAGAGGGGTGAGGGGAAGGGAGGTGGGACCTTGGAGCAGGTGAAGTGCAGGGTCTTCTCTGACCCCAAAGTTATAGCAGTTGTGGCAGCAACAGCGATTAATCATTATCACAACAGTGACAGTGACCTTGCCTGTGTCTAAGATTGAGGGCGGTATCTAAAAATGTTTCATGAAAAGACTATTCTTGTGGCAAAACAAACCCCCCAAAAGGGTACTCTACACATTCTTCAAGGTTAGGCTAAAATCCCATCTCTTCTATAAGACCCTTTCAGAAGTCCAGCTTCTAATATCTTGGCAACCATAGATAATAACTAACAGTGGAATTTCGCCCTTCATGGGATCCAAGTGCAGAAGGCACCCATCTTGTCCTTTCAGTTTTCTCGGCTGGCCTGAGACCCATTTAGGCTTGGACTAGCGCAGTAGCCCAACTGATCCTCCAGCCTCCAGCTCCTCTCTCCCTGCATGTCTTCTTGTTGGGCAGGGGGGAGGGGGAAGGAGGTAGAGCTAATTTTGTTGTTTATGAGTCTTCTGCTGCAGCATCATGCCAAATAATTAGGAACCAAATGAAATATACTTTTTCTAAAATGACCATGACTTGAATATCTAATGCAGAATCTTTAGATTCAAAGCTTTTGTTTTTCTGTAGCCAGAGCAGAGAACTGCATAAACTAAGCTAATAAATAGATCACAAAAGGTTTCCAGAACCTGCACACATGTGCAAAACTTAGGTTGATAATATCTTAATACATTGTCTCTATTGAAAATAAAAGAAAGCAAATATCCATCCCACATGTAGGGCTCCTGAAGATGTTGAAATTAGACCAACTCGCTCAGCCTTTCCCTTCTTGGGTCACCATTTCCAAATGAATGTGGTGTGCACATACTCTGAGTACTGAGTGTGGGAATTCATCTTTGCTAGTAAGGAAGTAAAAAGGGAAAAAAGTACTTAAAACTCCCAAATATGAATCATTTAAAAATACAGAACCAACCATTCATTAGCCATGTGTGGATTATCTGTGACAAATTTATAACCCCAGGCTGGCTTCCTCCTACCATCCAGCATTCTTTTGAGCTAATCTCTCAAGGTCACCATTTGTTAGGTCTGCCCATTCTGCCAAGGCTAGCTCAACTCTCACCTCCATAGCCACATGAGGAAAACGTTGCCTTCATTAACAAGAAGTGAATCCAGAATCCCCGACAATGGCCCTGAAAATCCCTCTCAGCAAGAGAGGAAAACTGATGTCAGCTTTAGAGGACGTTGTAGTCCCAGTCCTCTCTCCGTGGCATCTCTCACTCCGTACTGGCTTCTGAGGTTGGGGTGGGACGGGGACTGTTCCTCCCTTGACACTGTGTCCAAGCACAGCCAAGGAAGGGCTGGAGTCTCCAAACCCTGCCTTGCTCAGGCTTGGGGACAAGAGCGAGCAAAGCACACTCTCCCCACCTGCAGACAGTGCCTTGGAAGAGACAGTGTCTCTTCTGAAAGAAGTTGGAGAACCACTGTTGTGGTCCATCATGCATTTGCACTTTAATGGAAATAAAGAGAAATGACAAAGAAAAAAAATGAATAAAACATGTTTACTTCTTGAACACCTGAGATAATATTTTCAGTACTTCAAATCTCTACCCAGAGAAAAGACAATCCTTTCTTAACATGTCTCCATCTTCCTTTTGACTTTGAAATTCATTCCAATAGTTAGCACATTTACAAATTAGAAAAGTATGGTGTGGTGGCTGACCACGTGGCCTCTGGTGTCCAATGGCCTGAGTTCATTATCCCAACTCCAGCACCCACTAGCTGTGTGCCTTGGCCAATCTTAATCCCTCAGTTTGTCCATCTGTAAAATGGGGGTGACAACAGTACACACCTCAAAGGACTGATGTGAAAATTAAGTGTGACATTCCATGGCACACTAAGGATAGTGCCTTCCATATTGCAAATGCTCCATAAATATTAAGCAAGTAACTGTATCGTTATTATTCAAGTGAAGCACGCTTTGAGCAATTGCTTTTCAGATCAGCTTTTCTCCTTTTCAAAAGGTGCAAAAGAAACTTTAATAGCTTTGTGATTTTTACCTTGAGTTTTAAATCCTTTACCACAGGAACAAAATCTCAAGAGACCATCCCTACCTGCTGCACCTCTGCACCTGGGCACAATCCACCCCCTCCTTGACTTCCATGGGGGCATTTGCAAGCCACTTGAAATGCCCAGATCCAAGCAAAGGGCCTCACACGGGCCTGGCTGTGGGTTCACCGGGGTGGGGTCCCCTGCCTGCAAGTAACCTGTGTTCTTCTTGTCACTGTCTCCGACAGCTGTGCGGGAAGGAGTTCAACCGGATGCACAACCTGATGGGCCACATGCACCTGCACTCTGACAGCAAACCCTTCAAGTGCCTCTACTGCCCCAGCAAATTCACCCTGAAGGGGAACCTGACGCGCCACATGAAAGTCAAGCACGGTGTCATGGAGCGGGGCCTCCATTCTCAAGGTATTAATCTCCCAAGAAGCCCCCATGCCTGCGAGGCCAGTGAGTAACAAATGGGCGGTGACCTTGTTTACAGGGACTTCTCTTTATTCTTATGGTCGAAAAAGGGAGTGTAACTTTCAAGACTACAGCAGGGTAGCAGGAGCAAGCTGACAATGTTATGGTAACAAATAAAATGCTAAGATCTGAAGGCAGCAAGTACAAATGAAGTCTAGAAAGACAACTGGAACATTGTAATGATGCCAGCTTCAGGCTGGAGGGACTTCTGTTATCCCCATTTTACAGATGGGGGAACTGAGGCTTCCCAACATTAATTTGGCAGAAGTTGGTCAACTGAAAACTGGCAGAGCCAGGATTTGAACACGGACCTTTCTGACTCTAAAGCCGTCTTGTGTACACTTCGCCAAACGGCTGTTAAAGGGCATGCGGTTTCCCCCCGCTTTTGGGAAAACAGGTCTGCAGCTCTATTGTCAGCAGAGGTCTGTCTGTAGCAGGCAGGCCTCCTCTTACCTGTTCAGGACCAGACAGGCTCAAGGGCAGTTCTCCTGCTCAGTGGAGCTAGGTCTCCCTCCCGGAGTCCTGACTGAATGGATAGAAAGTTCTCGCCTTATTTGTCAGTCCCAGGGCCCCCAGAGTTCATGTTCCAGATCTACTGAACTTGGCAGGTTGCTCCTTCGTCACCTACCCAGGCAGTCTTTCAATAGGCAGTAAGTGCAGTCCGTCCTAGGCGTGTGCTCTGAGCCGTGGCAGCAGTGAGGGACGGAGACCAGCTTTGTCCTCTGGGAGGTCTGCGTGTAGGGAAAGAAGACATACATAGAGGTAACTTACATCGTATTAGCTGGCCGCTCTTTTCTGGTCACTAGTATGATCAAAGCACAGAGCTCATTCCCACAATTCCACAAAGTAGACTGTGTTGTTCTCATGTTATACAAGAGGAGACCAAGGCCGGGAGGTGTGATATAAATTGCTCAAGGTCAAACAGCAAGTCTGAAGGCAGAACTGGGGTTTCAATTAAAGAATTTTTGAGTCAAGCCAGTGCTCACCACACTAGATGAAAACACAGGTGACTCATTTGTGTTTGCTCTTCCTCCCGCCCTTTTTCAAAAGAGATGGTCAGATAGGCACACATATTCATAAACAAGGAGCACACAACAGAATGATTGTGGTTTTCAGATTTTTACAATGTCGCCCTGACTCCTGGGCAACAGGGAACTGTGGTCATAAAGCAAGGCCTAGAGTTGGTGCAAAAGCCCTGAAAAATTCTGGTTAAAAAACAAAAGCAATTTTTCCACCCTAACCATGTTTTTCACCTGAATTATTCTTCACATCTCTAGTTGCCTGAGCGGCTTCCCAAGTTAGGCCTGGATTTTTCCAGAACAGGTGAAGTGTGTTCAATTGCCAGGGCTGGAGACATAGAAGGCCATGATGAGACAGGCCTGCATCTGAACACCTAACCTGCTCACCACAGCTTGCCCCTATGGACACTCAAAAGCCTAGCAGGCACCTGACAACTCTATCATTCTGGAAAAATAAAGAACATCACTATATATCACAGAGCTGCTTTGAAAACTTTTAACAGACTTGCAACTATTTTAATGTTTTCATCTACAAAAGGGGTCAGTAATTTTTCATTCCAGTTTTTGAAATGGCTCAAAAACCAAGGCCCAGATCAAAAAGACCCTCCCTGTGCCCCCGACAAGATTAAAGCTATAGACAGCTTCCTTGCCTGACGGCATCTTGAGGCTGGCAGCGCTGAACATCAGCTTCCTTTGTGTCTCCCCACCCAAAAGCCTGGTCCCCCTGTGGTGCTGCAGGCTCTGGCTGCAGCCCAGGCCCATCCCTCCCAGTTCGCCTCTCCAGCCACCCACACCTGTTCCTTGGGACCTTACTACAGCCAAGATCAAATCAGGTGGAGCCCTGCCACGGGCCTGTTGGCTCCTGGAAAGTGTGTGTCTAGAGTCCTCAAACTAAACTAACAGTGAGACCCTCTCACATCACTGTACCTGATAGCAGGGACACTTGTAGTTGGACACAGGGGCTCTGGAGTCCCCAGGGGACCTCTTTATGGGATATCTTTTTTTTTTCCAGGGTGGAAATATCTTTATTATTGTTTTATCTTTTTTTCTTATAGTAAAATAAATGCCTGCTGAACATAATAAAAAAAACATTAGAAATAAAAAGAAAAAATGTCAAAAATCACCTCATTTTTTAGATTGTTGACATCCTTTTTTTTAAGAGACAGAGTCAGGAAGAGGGAATGAGTGAACCGGGTCTACACTAGAAATATACATAATAAGTATATATGTTTTATACTTAAAATATATAGAGAATACCTCTTTATGTTATTAGGTCTCTATATCTCCCACACACAGTTCATTGTGTGGATGCACTATTATTTATTTAAACAAACCTTCACCATTAAATAGATACATTGTCTTCACAGTTTCATTATTAAAAATGTGGTGATGAGCACACTCACACACAGACTTGTTCACCTGCAAATTTGCATAGTTTAAATTCTCAGTAATTGCTAAGTGTGAGCAAGGCTTGTTTTTAGATTTTGGTGCATGTTGCCAAATTCACCTTAGAGGGGTCACCCCCATGTAGATTCTTTCTGGGAGTTTATCTATTCTTAAACTGTAAAATCAAGCTACACTGAACGGCCCTGGGTACCACCAGCCACCTCTTTTCAAAGGCTTTTCCAGGGCCTGAAGGCTGCCTTTGCTCTCACAGGTTTTGGAAGGGGGAGACTCGCCCTGGCGCAGGCGGGGGTCCTGAGGAGTCTGGAGCAGGAGGAGCCCTTCGACCTGTCCCAGAAGCGCCGGGCCTTCCAGTCTGACGGGGAGAGCGCCAGGGGCAGCTCCTGCCAGGAAGAGGAGGATGAGGACCACTGCTGCGAGGTGGAGCGGGACAGCCCAGGCCCGGCCCCGCGGAGCAGGCAGCGCTGCGTGCCCCAGGATCTCTCCACCAAGCCCGAGCCAGCCCCCCGGGCGCCCCAGGAAGCCTGCGATGAAGAAGAGAAGGAGGAGGAGGAAGAGATGGAGGAGGAGGAGGAAGAGGAAGAGGAGGAGGAGGCCGTGCAGAAGGAAGGACGCCAGGAGAAGAGCAAGGACAGCCATGGGGCAGAGGGCGGCCAGGAGAGAGATGGCGCCCGCAGAGAGGAGTGTCCCAGCCTCAGGGCGCTGCAGAGCGCGCGGCGGGGGGCCTCCTTTTCTGATTACTTGTACTTCAAGCACAGAGATGAGAGTTTAAAAGAATTACTGGAGAGGAAAATGGAAAAACAAGCAGTGCTTTTAGGTATCTAAGTGGAGAGCTTTAGAATTACACTTGGAAAATGAGAAGCAGGCAGTTCAAATATAGCTTTCTGCATGAGCTGTCATTCGCTGGCGACTGGCGACTGGCTCGCATCTTCACAGATGGCTCAGACTCCATGAGCAGGGGCGTCCTCAGCCAGGGAAATGCTTCTCGGGTCATTCCGGGCCCTTGATTTTTAACGCGCAGGCAGGTCTCTCCGGTGTTATTTCTGCCTCTCCAATGCCAGACGCTGTGCACATTCTTCTAGGCATCTGATTGTAGGCCGATGCTGAGGTGCTTATAGAAATCCTACTTTTCTTTGACTAATATACAATACAAGGTAAATTTCTTTCAAGTGGCAAAACTATGGTGCTTGACATGTTTCCTAATTAATGACTGTTTAGTTGAATGTGTGAAAGTTACAATATTTTTTCAGATAGATGAAAATATGAGTAGTTGTATATATAAAAGTTGCCTTTATTAAAAAACAAACAAACGAACAAAAAAACAAAAATACCAGAAATGACACAGGAGTTATTGAAAAGGAGTGTTCTCATATAGTCATTGCAGAAATAAGACAAAGTTTCAAGAGAAAATGAATAATTTTGACTAAGGAAAGCCCAGCCATGCTTAGGTTCCTGCCTGGGTCTGCCTTGCTGGGCTCCAGCCCCCTTCATTGGTGCGGCCTTAGGAGCCGATTTGCAGATGACGCCCAGTGCTCGCGCCTACGTCCCCATTGGAGCTCCCTCCTGGAGCCCTTGCTAACGCAGCTGCAAGAGGAGTTGTCACCCTGTGAGCAGCTGGCTGCTCCTTGCGGCTAGAGCGGGGCAGTAGGGGAAGGCTTCTCCGTGAAACCCAAGGTCTGACTTGTTTGGAGAATTAGAATAACCAGCAGCTAATCACCAGTAGGGGAGAGTCTGGGCTGTGTTCTCAATGCGCCTGCACATTAGAATCAGCTCGGGGAGCCCTTTTAGCAATACCTCATGTGGGTCCTCAGCCTCTGAGACTCTGATTGAATTGGCCTGAGTGGGGCCCCTGCTTCGGTTATTTTCTAAATTGCCCCATGATTCTTCCCTGCAGCCAGGGTTGAGAAACACTGACTGGGCTAAAATAGTGACTCCCAGGACCCCCTCCCAGGGACTCCATAAATATCTCTGTGTCTGGCTTCAGACTCATTAGGAGAGAGAGAGCAGGAGACCTCGAAATCATACTGCTGACTTAGGCTTTTCACCTGTTCAGTGGGGACACACACAGTATGAACACATACTTTCTATATTTCAAGATGATGCCTGAGATGTTTATGGTCACTTAATATGTTTTAAAGTACATAGCCAGCTTATAGTGACTAATCACGTCTTCCTAGATGCTTGAATCGTGATTCCAGTGACTGCCCATGATTAGAATGGGTGGGCTGAGCCCGTAGGTAGGCTTCCCTTAGGCATGGCACCGAGTAACGCAGTGCGGACAGGATGTCACTTACGTGTGACTGACCATATGCAGGAACCCGCTGGTACTGTGTCTGTGTTTATGTAAAAACTGCCTCTAGGTTGGTAGTTTCAACTCTTATTTGTAGAGCTAGGTACTGTTTATTATTTTGCTTCCTCTCCTCTCCAAGTTCCCGATACATTTCCTTAGAAGACCTGGCCCATCTCTGACTGCAGGGTGCTAGCTTTTCCTCTTGGCCACGGTGCTTCCCCATCAGCCTCATCTCGTTCTCGTCACTTACCCGGGTGCTTTGTCAATTCCTGATGCATTTCTCCTGCCACTGTGCCTAAAGCTCCTCCCTTCAGCCCCACCACCACCCAGTGCCAAAGCTGCTTAGGTTTCCTGCTGCCACCCATGTCCTTAGGTCAGAGCACCTGCAAAGGGATGCTGACGGATGATGTGGTTTCTGCAGTGACAAACACAACTCTGGGCCAAGAACCTGTCCCAAGTCCTCAGAGGAGCAACTTGCTTTCCACTCATTATTAATATGGCTCATCGATGCCCTGATGAACTCACCCAGGAGGCGGACCATGAGGTCTGTGAGGTCCCCGGCTCTTAGGGTCCCGGTCCATACTTACTCTATCAGCAGTTGTGTGTGGAGGAGCTACTATGAGGGCTGCAGACTTCCAGTTTGTTCTGGGTCTGGCTAGCTGGAAAAGGAACCAGGGAATCTAGAATAGCAAGCTCTAGTCCTCTCTAACCAAAATGGGTCACATGGGAATGTTTGAGGAGCAAGGTAATGTGGAGATGGAGAGAGTAAGGTCCAGGAGAGTGGTTTTCACACGGTCTATTGAGGAGCCGCTCCAGGGCTGCTAGGGAGAAGAGGCTCTCAGCCCTCAGGCCCATGTCACTCAGAGTGGTTCAGATTTCATCTGTTGTATACATTAGACTTCTCAGTAAAATTTCATTTGAAGGGAGAAAGAGGTCTAAGGAAAGTAGTATAAAGTTGTAATGGAGAGTATTCTAAAGCCTGTGTATAGTTCTTGACTCTGAGTATAGATATTTAATTAGATCTAACCCCATGGTTAGTATACAATGACCTTCTGAGAACCAAGGTTAAAATGTTGGTTTTGTATGTTTTTGAGTGACCGGCACCTGGTTTGCCTCAGACAACCCTGGTTTATACCTATTGTTCCAGGGTAATTACCAGTAAGTGTGGCCTAAACTCTGAACATTGTCCCAGTTTGGGTAATAAATTCCATGGACACCAATGCCTAGTGCAGAGCTCAGGAGAGAGTTAGCCAACCCTGCCCAACAGAGCTAATTAATCAGAGTGAAAACCCGTAGGAGAGCCTCGGAGCCCATCCTCAGAGAACCTCAGGGATGACATCATCCAGGGTGACCAGCACTCCAGGGCCAGGACAGCATGACATTCATCACATTGCGGCACTCTGAAAATAGGTCACTGCCAGATGCTTTCCAGGCTTTTGACCACTGTCACTCTGAACCAAACGACTGACCAGCCAAGTGGCATATTTTTCTTTATCCTTTCCATTCAGGCCTATCACTACCTCCTCTTATTGCCTTTTAAATCTTTTATTCTTTCTTTTTAAAAAAAATTTGACTCCCCACTGGCCATGAGACTGAGGCTGACCTTTCATAACCCCGCAAGGATAACTGGTATATTTGCATTTGAGTAGCTACGTGAGAAAGCCCAATGTGCATACTGTATTTATTAAGCCCTGAGGCATCTAATAAAATATTAACATCGTGTTTTGAATCATGATCTTTGTCTGCTTTGCTGGAACAAAATGTAACGGAGCTAACATTTAAAATCCTTCACATATTTGGACAACATTACGCCAAATGTTGATTTTGTACAGAATTCTGGCTTGCTATTTAAAAATGAAAACTCCAAGTATGTAGTAGCATCAGGTTGTGAATATTGCTTTCTGCTTCAGTGAAAAAGCAGTTTACCTGAAAAAAGCATGTAGCCTATATTTTGTTAATTTAAGCAAATAAAGACATGTTGAAAAAGCTGAGTTAGTTATTTGCAAACACCCACATTTTGCAAGGAAGCTGCCACTGTCAATGCCTATCCTATACCCTCTGCCAGGGGGGCTCCTCTTGGCTGGAACCTCAGCCCAGGGACACAGATGCTGGATTCTCCCTCACTCCTTCAGAAAGGATTACTGACCCTCGACCCATCTGCTGGCAGGTGACATCTTCCTATCCTCTCCATCTTTCCTATTCAAAAAAACTAGTTCTGGAAGGGTGTCATGGGGAAGTGGGAGGTTAGAGACCATGTTGCCCATTCTGCATCAGGCTCTTTGTAGAATAAAGTTCAACCAAGAGGAAGTGTACTTTAGTGGGCAAGAGCACAGCTTCTGGTGCCAGGTACCTGGGTTCAAAGCCCAGCTCTCCCACTTTCAATCTTTGGGAACTGACACCAATTTGTGAACTGCTCTGTGCCTCAGTTTCTTCATCTGTAAAATGGGACTAAAAACACAGCACCTTCCTCATCAGGCTGTTGTGTGGGTTTGTTAATATATGTGAGACACTTATGTGCCTGGCTCACAGTTCATTCTACGTAATATTAGGTATTATTATCACCAACAAAGTGGCCAGAAAACAGAATACTCAGCTCTCCCTCCTCATCAGAGAACTCACCAAGCAGTGTGGGCAGGGGAAACTGTCAGTTTCTATGGGAGCTCCCTTTTTATTATTATTTTTATTTTTATTTTTTATATATTTTATTGATTTTTTTTACAGAGGAAGAGAGAGGGATAGAGAGTTAGAAACATCGATGAGAGAGAAACATCGATCAGCTGCCTCTTGCACACCTCCTACTGGGGATGTGCCCGCAACCAAGGTACATGCCCTTGGCCGGAATCGAACCTGGGACCTTTCAGTCCACAGACTGACTCTCTATCCACTGAGCCAAACCAGTTAGGGTGGGAGCTCCCTTTTTAAACACTACAAGCAGTTACATGCCGACCACTGTGCCAAGCATTTACACACTCGATCTCAAGCCTCACACGACTCTGAGAAGAGTTATCTCCATTTCACGGATGCAGAAACAGCTTGCTTCAAATTACCTAGCTGGTAAGTTCCTCCTTTGCCTTCAAAGCATTTAGGCTGTAGCCAGTTGAAGTTTCTGAAGTAGATGCTGAGACAAATGTGAGTGCAAAGTGCTAATTAGGAATTGGCATTAGTTAAAAGGAAGGGGAAGAAAGAAGACGAGCAAAGAGAGAAGCCAAACTGTGAGGTAGGCCCAACCAAGCCCCAGCAGGCAGCTCTGGGGAAGGACTGCCCATCAGGAGTCCAGGCCTTTGCACCTCCACCAGAAGGGCATGACCTCAGGCAGGTGTGACTTTAGCTGGGCCAGCTCTCCAGGAGCCGGTGGCTGGAGGCTGTGTGCTGATTGCAGTCCTCACAGGTCAGTGCGAGTCCTTCCTTGAAGAGAGACTAGTGACTCATCTCTGTGTCTAGCACAGTCCACCCTTGCACCACGCCCATCCATGTCATGTACACACATGGAGCGTCTCCTCCAGGGTTCCAGGAGGCCTCTCTTCCTGAGGGAAAACTTAGAAGACCAGAGTTAGTGGGACAA